CCGCCCCTGCTGCTGGGTGTGTGGCAGAGCCGTGCCCACGCCCAGCCAGTCAGGAGGGGCCCTGGGGTGGAAATGCAGCCTGGGGAAAAGCCAACCGGGCCAGCACAAGGAAGAAAAAAAAAAAAATGCCTGGCCGGAAGAGGGTGGCCGCTTCCTCCACAGAGCTCGAGTCCCACCCAGTGATAAAAGCTCCAGGCTCGCCAGGCCCAGCCCAGGCTCCCCTCCCCCAGAGCTCAGCCCTTCCCTGGAGCACCAGACAGCTGTTGGGCAAAGGCCCTGAGTGGTCCCAGGTTGCCCCCTTACCTAAACACAGCCCCACACTGCACACTGGAGGCCTGGTTCCACGGTGGGCAGTGAGCCAGTGCCTGCCCTGCCTGGCATGCTCTTCCTGCTTCTGGATGGGATACAGGCAAAGCCCACCTGCTCCTGGAAGCCCTGCTGGCATGCATAGGAGGCCCTGCAAGTACAGGTCAAGGACACTCTTGAATTCAACCCTCATCTTCTCATGGCACCTTCACCTGTCACATACCACAACTGTGTTATTCCCTTCTTGCTTGCTCATGCTGTGTGGTTCTGCAGCATCAAGCATCAAGTCCAAACTCTGGCCCAGCCACCCTGGAAGAATTTTTCCTCATGAATATCTGTGGGTGGTCACATAGTACCATGCCCATGCTTCTCTGCCCTTCCACCCTCCAGGCACCTGCTCAGGGTCTTCTCCAATCTCAGAATGGCCATGCCTACTCCTTCTCCTGGAACCCTGGCCCTGAGACCCAGCCCAGTGCTGCCGCCTCTCCCTTAGCACCCTCAGGTGTCCCACTTGCAACCCAGCCCCCACAGTGACCCCCAGCCCCTCATTCTGACCACAGTGGAATTCCAGGATGGGAAGATGGAGAGGGAGGAGAGCCAATGGTCATTTGAGTCCTCATGGTGGCCTGCAGAGATGCCTCACTTTCCCCATTTCACAGGGAAGAAAACCAAGGAGCAAAGAGATGCAACAAGTTGCCCATGGCACCTGAGCCAGGACAGAAGGAGCTGTGGCTCTCCGGGTGACTTGTTCCTCTCAGCTCTGGTGAGTGTTGTGCAGGAGGGCAAGGGTTAAACTGAAATTGCCTGATGTTCCTGTACCCAATGTTTGGTATCCCGGGAAGGATAGAGGCTTAGCAGAGGCTGTCTGCCCCAGCCAGCAGGTGTCAGCTTAAACTGGCCTCCCTGGAGCCAACTCAGCTCGATTCCAGGGCACAGGAAGCCCATAAGGCTAATGATGTCACAGCAGCAGGTGCACAGCCAGGGCTGCAAGGCCTGGGGGCTGTCCTTTCTGTTTAAATGCATTTTATCCCTGAGAACTCAGTGTAGGGATGCCTCATGGAAGGGGGACATGGCCTTAGGACTGGGCACCAGCATGGTGGGCAGCAGGGCCCTTGGTGGAAGGTCCTTGTGTCTTGGCTTAGAACAAAACGCTGGCTGTCACAGCCTTCTGACTGAGGTAGGCCCCGTGAGTGCCTCCCATTGCACTCAGCCCAGTATACAGAGGATGCTCAATAAGTGCTCCCTCCTGCTCTGAGCGGTCTGTGTGCCTTGGTTTCTGTTGCCCTGAGCTTTCAAACACTGAGCCTCAACTGCACCCCGGGCAAGTGTACGACAGTGCTGCCCTGCTGAGCACCTGCTGTGTTGGGCGTAGGCTCGCACAGGCAGGCGCTGGGTTTCCCACCGGAGAGGGCTGCAGACACAGACCAGGGCCCAGTGTGGAGCAGGCAAGAGAGCCAGTCCAGAGTCAAGGTCCAGGCCCCATGCTTGTGAGATCTGTGTTCCTGGGCAAGTGTTTGGGGTCCTCTGTACTGAGGTAGCCTTGGCAGACCCCTGTGCGTGTTACCGATGTCCATCTAGCTCATCCAAGAGTTTGTTTAGGAGGGGGTTAGCTGAGTCAGGGAATGTAAAACACAGTGTCAGCCTGGTGTGACTAGAGGGTTGGATCTCAATGACTTGGAGCTCAGCTAGAGCGAGAGGTGTGATGGCCAGAGCTGGGATTGGGGAGAAGGGGAGCCGGGGAGGGTTGGCTGGTTCTAGAACCCATCAGCACCGCACAGGGACAAGAAGGCACCTAAGGAGCTGGCAAGCTAGCACTCTCAGCAAGTATGTGACCAAGTGCCCACTGAGAGGCCTGCGTCTTCAACCTGCCTGGGGCTTGGGGAGGTGGGTGGTGAGCCAGTGCCTGGCCTGTGCTGGGCCTTGTGCATCTTTGGAGTACTGAGGAAGGATTGAAGTGAGCCAGATTCAGATCCTGAGTCGGCCTTGGTGTCTCAGGCGGATTCAGGGTCACACTTATCTCACAGTTGTGGGGACACACGCTAGGACCAGTGGGGGGTGGCACCTCACCTCCCTGACTCCCAATCTCCTCATCACCAATGCAAGGACCGAGTCAGAAACACAAAACTCCCTGGTGCTGTCAGGAGGAGCCCGCCAAGGCTCCGTCACAGGCAGCTGCTCCCTAGCCTCCGTGACTGTCACTGTCATTATTGCTGCTGTCACTGCCACAGCCCAGGGCTGATGCATCACTCCATCCAGTGTCTTTGATTCCAAGTCTCTGAGCTCTGGGGCTGCAAGGGGCTACTGCCTGGGTGCATCAGATCGGGTAAGATCAGGGCGAGAATGGTGGCTGTACCTCAGCCAGCCCCACCCCTGCTTCTACAGACATACAGGAAGGTGCTGCATTCTCACAAGTGGGTGCTGGTGGCTGCTCCCACTGTGTCCCTGTCACTCTCCCCCGCTGCTGAAGGAGCTGGGGAGAATGAGAGAGAGGAAGGGGACAAGGTGTCCTCAATGGCAAAGCAAGGGACTGCAGCCAATTCAGGAATGATGCAGGGATGACTGGGCTGGGAGACCTGCCTGGGCTCTCGGGCCATGTCCCTTCTCTCTTTGGGCCTTGCTGTTCCCATCTGTGACATGGGCATATGATTCTAAGCAACATGTGCTGTTGGTCACTCAGAACAGCTGTACCAATGATTCTCCCTGCCCTGTCACCCCCTGTCATGTCCTGTGTGGGTGCCAATGGTCATCCTGAATACACTGAATGGCTATGGCTCAGCTGATGCCACCAGCAGCGACAGCACCACACTTAAAAAACTCCACAGGCTTTAATATCCTTTCCCCCTATTGGGCACACTCTGGGTTCAGTTTGTGGCTGCAGCTACACACATGCAGGCCTGGGCTTGTCGCCTGCTGGCCCCGCCACCACAAGCTCTATACATGTGCTGGGCTCAGCCTCAAACCCCAAAACTACAGACACAGGAAGGGCTTCAGGTGCAGGAAGGTGGCACACGGAGGGCCCCACCTGACCTCTCGTCACCCACGGGAAGGGCAGCACCCGCCCCTTTCCTCACATGCTTTCTCCTGGGAGTCCTCTGGAGTCTGATTCTATGGCTAGTTCCCAGAAACAAGCTGCATTTAAGAACTCTTTTTTATTAACTATTGAAATGGTTTATCTGTTCATTTGTACTCATGTCCACACACAGGCTTCCCCCTCACCCCTCACCCTCTCTAGCACCAACTCTCCTGCCACACTCTCCACCTCCCCCACCTGCTTCACCTTTCCTGTCACTCCTTCACCTGACTCAGTCCATCACCCCCTCTCCTCTATCGCCACCCCATACTACTGCTACCTGCTCTTCCTCCCTTCTCCCACTTTCCCATCCCTGTCTCCCTCAGGCATACATCCATCAAGTTCCCTGCGTAAGGAACTCAGGGTTCAGCCACGGACTCTCAGTCACAATTCATTCTCCTTGAAAGCCTGGAGACGCGAGTCTGCCGCAGCTCAGGGTGGGCAGGCCCTCAGAGAGGGCTACCATTCCCTCCATCTCTGACATAACAGTCAGGCACCCTGAGGTGGCTCTGGGCCCAGCCAGCGCCCTCCCCCTCCCACCTGGAAGGCCCCTTTGCATGTGCCCTATTCAGTGTGGCCTGTGTGTGCCCGCCCCCGGCACCTGTCACAGACTAGCAGAACCATCAGACTAGAAACTCCCTGAGGACACAGGCTTGGCCTGGGTGGGGGGATGTTGAGGGCTGGGTGACAGGCACTGAGTCACACAGAAAGGCTTCTGAACCACCAGGCTGCCCTTTCAATGCCCCCTCCTCAGGGAGGCCCAGCAGGATCACCTACCTTCTGGGGTATTCAAACGTTAGCATGTATCAGAAGGGCTGGTGTGTGTGTGTTGGTGGGGCGCGGGGATGGACAGGGCGGATTCCAGTAAGCCTGTGGCGGGTCAACAAATGGCCACTTCCTACCTTCTGCTCGCTGGGATGCCCTGCTGTGCCCCAGCCCCGGGTGTTTTCTCACTCAGGGCTCCTGCAATGCACTGTTTGGCCCCACCTGTGACTCTTGTGGCCGCCCCTCCCATCCAAGCTGCCCAGTGCCAGGACTCAGGTCTGTCAGTTTGGGGCTCAGCGAGGATCCCAGGGCACGACTGAAGGAATGCCCAGAGATGGAACAGAAAGAAGGTCCCCTGGGCAAAGGGTCCCAAATCGTTGGGTCCTTGTCCCTTCAGCTTTGCCACAGCCCCTTTAAACGTGCACAGGGACACCTCGACCCTGGGCTCCCGATCCCTGACTGAGCAGGAAAAAAAAAAAAAAAAAAACCTTTCCTCTCCGGAGCGGGAGGAAACGTCTAGGAGGGGGCGGTGGCAGTGGCAGCGGTGGCGGCGGCGCGGCGGCCAGAGCGCAGCGCAGCCCCCTCTGAGCCCGGATCCCGGATCCCGGAGCGGACACGACGGCCCCCTCGCCCCCTCCCGGCCCTCGGCCTCGCCGGCGCCGCCCCGCCCCGCCCCGCGCCCCGGTGCCCCGCGCACTGCCCCCGGCCGCCTCCCCCGCGCGCCCCGCGCTCGCGCCCCCTCCCCTGCGCTCCCCGGCCCCGCCCAGGCCCGAGGCTCGCGCCCCGCGCCCCCACTTGCCCTGCGCGCCGCGCAGAGTCCGGCGCTCGCCGGGGGTGTGGCGGCCGCCGAGGGGTGCGGGCCCCGAGGGGCGGCCATGGAGTGAGGCGGCGGCGCGCGGGCTGGCGCTGGACCCGACAGAGCAGTGGACGCACCCGACGGACGGCCCCGGGCTCTGCGCTCTGGAAGATGAACAGAGCAGGTAGGAAGCTTGGCGCGGGCTCGGGCGTGAGGGACGCGCGCCAGGGGTCCCGGCCAGGCGCTCCAAGTTGGAAACCGCCGGGCGTCGCAAAATTGTTGCTGGGGATCCCGAGCCGGGAGGGGTTCGTGATCTCCTCACGGAGAAGGCTGGGATTCGGGGGTCTGACTCCGAGGTGTCCCTCCTCAGCCTCAGCGAGACCGCGCCCTGCCCACGTCCGTCTTTTTCCCACCTTGGTCCAGGGAGTGAGGGGCTTTTTTGCGCTGACGGGACTTGGTCGCACCCCCCGAACCCTCTCCTCTGCACCTCGAGATCCCCCGACGGGCCCTCACTCGCCCCTCAAGGGCCCCATCTGGCCAGCGTGCTGCGGCCGGAGCCCTCCCCTACACCGGGACCCAGCGTGCTCTTAGGACCGTTCCGACCCGAGACTCGGGATTGCTCTTCCACCTGAGGGACCAGAACCTCTTTAGAGTCTTGCAGTGCCCTGGCCCGAGGCCCCGCCTTTGTGCCTCCCTGGGGGCGCCCAGCCGCCCAGGGCCAGTTCTGGCTGAGGCATAGCGGCAGCACCTTCCTGGTGCCCACCCCCATTACCTCGCCCCAGGCCCTGTGGGTGGGACTCCCCTGGTTCGTGCCCCAGAAAGAGGGGTTCCGGACAATCCAAGCGTGTGTACGGAGGTTCCCGGAGGTTCCCCGGGTGAGTTTCTGGGATACCCATGAGCAGCTACGGCAAGTGAGCTGCAGGCGGGCAGTGCCTGGGTCCTGGCCCTCGGGATGCGGGGCTGGGTCAGGGGTGCTGAAAGTTCCCTTTGAGGTGGGAGGCGCCAGGGCGCAGGTCCCGCAGATCTCAGTACCTGCCCAGCGCGAGGCTCCACCCTGTTGGCTTGATCCTGCGGAACTGAGCCCAGGGCAACCCCCTGCCTGAGCAGTATCCTCATCCAAAGCCATACTCCCAAACACACGTCCCTAAAGAAACAGGAAGCCACCATTTTGGCTGGTCTTGGAACCATATCCTGCTAATGTGTGAGTGTGGTTACGGGTGGGGTGGGGGAGCGAGTGTTTTCATCTCATGAAACAGGAATCCTTGTCCTGGGAGTGGGGTGTGCTGGGATGTACTGCTCTGTCCCAGCCTTGGGTGGTGGGCAGCCACTGCCGTGTCTAGGAACCCACTGTGGCTCTGTATGGGGACACCTGGGTGTTCAGTGGGAGTCACAAAATTGGGGGGGGGGGAGGGGCAGGAACTAAAGCTGCTCCTGCTGCTTTGGGGCAGGGAGAGTCTGAACAGGGACCCCGCACCCAGCCATCCACCCATGAGAGGGAGAGGGTTGCCTCCTGCCACGCTGGCCAGGCCTGGACCCAGCTGAGCTAGCTTTTTCCTATGCTGCTAATAAAACTTGCTTGTAACAATGGTGAGAGCGTTTCCAGTTTTCCCACGTTTTCCTGCGTGAGGCTTGAGCAGGCCCTCCCTTCCCGGAGAAGCCGGGGATTGGAATGATCTGGAATCAGCTTAGGGGCAGGTGTAGTCCCAGGGAACTTTGCAGAAGCTGCTCCTGGCTTCTGCTGACCTGTGATTTGTCTCCAGTGTCTACCTGCTTGCTTTGTCCATGTGGTGGGTGTGACAGCAACCTGATGTGGTGACTTCTGGGTCCCCAGTGGCTCACAGATTCAGTGGGGCTGGACCTCAGAACCAGCAGGTCCTTGGTTCTGGAACCTTGGGTAGCCTCTTTCACCTCTCTGTGATTCTTTATCTGAGAAGTGGGATCGAATCATCTTTGTCACTGAGTACTCATGATTAAGTGACATCAAATGCAGAAGGTGCCTAGAGTGACGTCTGTCACATTATAAGAGGGCAGTAAACACCAGCTAATATTTATTGGATCCTTGTCATGAATCAGATAAGGCATTTAAGTACTGGACTTGCATTGTTTATTTAGTGTTTGCGGTGACCCTGAGGGGCGTGGTCTCCTGCTTGCTCCTGTTTTATGGATAGGAAAATGGAGGAGCAGATGATGCCCAGGGGCCAAAATGAATGGGAACACAGACTGTCCAGCATCAGTACCTGCTGTGCCCAGTGTCCAACACATCAAGGGATGTAATCTGGCCATGGATTCCGTTATTTCCCCTGGCCTGATGCGTATGAGGAAAGGAGGTGTTTTTACCCATTTTACTCCAAAGGAAAGTGGTATGTTCAGGATCACACAGATGACATGTGACTGAGCCAGATCTAGAGCCTGGGTCTGAGCCAACAACGCTGGTTCTTCTTGCTCTGTGCGTGGCCATCCTGTTAGGACGTGCCCTGTCATGGATCACTGGACTGGCTTCATTGCCGACTCATTAGGAGTCCTTGGACTATGCCTGGACATTCCAGCAGGCACCCGGGAATGAAGTTAAATTAAGATGCAATTGAAAGGTGAAATTGGAAGATAATTACTCCCATAGCATCTGGTTACCAGGGTTCCAGGGGGAGTGTAGTGAAGTGCAGTGGAGATGGCCTTGGGGGTGGCAGAGGGCATCATCAGAGAAGACTGCTGTCAGCCACGCAGCCCAGGCTGTGACTGCCTGGTCCCCTCCTCTCCTGCTAAAGGTGGGGAAACCAAGTTTGGGGAGAGGGAAGGGACTTGCCTAAGGTTGCTGCTCCGTGGGCGGCAGGGCTGGGAGAGCAGTTGGTCCAGCTTGTGCCTCCCTGTGTAGCGCTTCTCCTGACACTGTGCTGAGATGGAGCTTCTGCAGGCAGCCAACAGAGACGTGTGAGTGACAGAGGAAGGGAAAATAGAAACCATGCCAGGGGGCTGGCTGGGGGTGACATCCATCACCAGGAGCTGCATCCCTCATCGCTGGGGTACCCCCCCGCCCTGGTTGACTCATCCCACCTGGGCTCAGCCACCCACCATGAGCCCTGGGTGCTGAGAACGTTGTGTGGGCAGGGTGTGCCCCAGACTGTGATGTCAAGAAAGAGGAGGGCCATTTGGTGCCAGAAGCATATGGGTGAGGACAGAGGCCACCAGCTGTGACTGGCTGGGCCCTGATGACCAGAAATCCAAGCCTTGCCTTGGAGGAGATCCTGGCTCGAACATGTCCTTTGGCCCTCGCTAAAGAGCTGCTGGGCAAGCTGTAGGACAGCCCAGAAGGCTTGCGTTGCTGGTGCCTGGCTGCAGACCCGTCCCTTCTGTCTACAGTGCTGTAGCCCTCACATCTGTCCTTCTATGTTCTGTCCTTGTATGCTTCAGTGCTCTCTGTGGCCTTGGCCTTGGTGGAGGGGTCCCATGGTTCCTTTCGGAAGAGGGGCAGGGCCGGCTGCTCTCACACTCTGCTCTGATTGCATTCCCCTGGGCCTCCTGCCCCAGCTAGTGCCCCACCCTGGCCCCCTCCTGGCCCTGCCCTCTTCTCTGGCTGTTCCCGTTCGCTGTAATCTCACCTGGCTCATGCTTTAGGTGCCATCCCCAGCTGTATCTCTTTGACAGCTCCCCCGGGCACGTGACAGGTGATTTGTGCTTGACATCAGCAAGCTGAAGTGCAGGTTTCCTCCCAAACACCTGCAGCCTTTTCCCATTTGGTTGGATGGCTCAAGTTCACCTTCCCCATTACTCGGGCTCAAAACTTGGTGTTGTCCTTGGCTTTTCCTGTTAGGTTTGGTGTCTCAGCCATCAGCAGGTCCCCTCTGTCCAGTCTTCATGCAGGCATTCTGCTTTTCATCCCATCTTGCACTGAGCTGCCCTCATCTCCCACCTGGATCTCGATAGAGCCTCCCCACTGGGCTCCCGGTTGGCTCCTCTGTGCTTCAGTTCATTTCCACGTGTGAGAGTGCACCTGTGCATCTTCTCGGAAGCCCACAGTGGCTCCCATTCCTCCCTGGGAGGCCCCACAAGGTGCCCCTTGTGATCTGCTCGTCCTGTTGCCCTCCTGGCCTTTCTTTGCTCTTGCCCGGCTTTCTCACGCCCTGCCAGCCTTGCTGGCTTCTTTGCTGTTGCCTGGACTGGCCCTCACTTCTTGCGTGTCTTTGCTCTGAGGTTCTCTCAGTGAGTCCTGTCTCCATCCTTCTGTTCATAATGGCATACACCCTCCCCATCCCTCACTGCCAGCCTTTTGTTCTGTTGTGTATTGTACAGTATGCTTACCCTTAGCCTGCGGTGTCCCTCACCACCCCCCAAGACGTGGTCCCAAGCAGACAAGGGTTGGTGATTCCTGTATAAATGTGTCCTGAGCCTGTGGCAGGTGCACAGGACATAGTTACTTCTTGGAACTGGGCCAGTGGACGTAGGGTAGAAGGGAGTTAAAGTCAGTCATACAGCCCACTGTCAGTCAGTATTCTGAGCTCGGACCCAGCCTTCTCTCTGGCTCACCTGCCTACCTGTGGCTTCAGTTCCCCTGCATTTAACTCTTCTCTGCCTTACAAAGTGCTAGGACCCTTAAGTCTGCACTAGCGGGGAGAAAGGTCAATGGCAAAAAAGTAAAGGCAGAGGGTCAGGCACTGGACCATGAAGCCAGAAGCCCAGGGTCCCCACAGGGCCTGCCGAACTCGCTGGATGACTTCATGGCAACCGCTTGCATTTTCTGTGCCTCTCAGTGTCCTTTTCTTCCAGAGAGGGCTCAGCCTGGATGTCAGATGTAAACAAGACAAGCTCTGTGCTTTACAGAACTAGGAGAGCAGGTGGGCCTGGTACCTGCCATCTGCAGGGGCTCCAGTGCAGGAGGCATTTTCTTGCAGAATCACGTCTCAGCTGTCCACTGTAACCTTTCCTGTGGACACAGTGCCCGAAGATCAATAGCTTGAGTGGATGAAATACAGGATGAGGAGGAGGGCCATGTGGCCAAGGTGATGGTTATTTTTCATGGCCTATCTGTCCCTCTGTCACGTCTCCTGGCCTCTAAAATGCCACCTGTTAGAGATGAGCCATGAGAGGCTCCACCTCTGGTCAATGAGTCCGTGCTAATGCCCGAGCCCAGTGCTGGATGCTGGCTGTTGGCCACTGGTACTGTGTAGTAGTTGGTCAGCATGGAGCAAGACTTGCACCAGGGCAGCACGTGGCTGGCAAAGATTGGCTTTGGCTGCATGGGGCACAGCTGCTGCCCACTGCGTAGCTTAGAGTGTTCCCAAGTGAAGACCTCTAGATACTTCAGATACCAGGGCCGATGAATGGGGCTAGTCTGCCTGTAAGTGCATTGCAAATGGAAGATAGATTTTTTTGAGACTCAGCATGAAAACAAAATGCCAAAATCCGTGAATAAATACTATGTCTTGGTTACAGATGTGCCTTGAATGACAATGGGATGACACCCCAATGAACTCATCCTACTAGAAAATGCATTCAATGCAGCTGACCTGCACCTTGATATGCAGCCTCACCTCCCTTCAGGATGCTTAGAACACTCCCATTAGCTTCCAGTCAGGCTGAGCTATGCAGCCCAAAGCCCACTTGCTATGAAGTGTTGAATGTCTTGTGGAGTTGGTTGACTCCTGTTTTGAAAGTGGAAGCAGAACGATTGTAGGGTGTGCTTTTGTACCATCATAAAGCACAAGTTGAACTGTATCAACATGTTAACATTTGGATATACTGAGCTGGGCAAAATATGGTGTTAAAGTTATTCTACTTTTTTATTTTTATTTTATTTTGCCCAAGATTTATTTATTTATTTATTTATTTATTTGAAACCCAGAGTTACAGAGAAGGACACAGAGAGAGGTCTTCTACTGGCTGGTGCACTCCCCAGTAGCCACAGTAGCCACAGTAGCCAAGACTGAGCCAGGCTGAAGTCAGAGACCAGGAGCTTCTTCTTGATATACTGTATGGGTGGCAGAAGCTCAAGCCCTTGGGCTATCTTCTGCTGCTTTTCTCCAGTCATCAGCTGAGAGCTGGACTAGAAGTGAAGCAGCCAGGACTTGAACCAGTACCTGCATGGGATGCCTGAGTCATCAGCATTGGCTTATCCTGCTGTGCCATAGCACTGGCACCTTTTTTTTTTTTTACTTTTTAATATGTGTGCCTCTGAGAAAATCAGACATCACACACGTATAATTGTTTGCATGGCCCCTGTGATAATCCTGTGGCAGTGTTGGATGGGGTGCAACACAAGTGCTGTCAGAGGCTGCAGGGGCAGAATTGGGTGGAGGTGCAGGGGAAGAGGAGGGCTTGCTGGCATTCTGAGGCTGCTTTGTCACATCCAGGTGTTGATGGGGATGAAGCTGGGAGATGCAGCCAAGCAGAAGGGGAAACGTAGGTCTCCTGATGCTTGGGCAGTGGCATTCAGGCAGTGCTTTAGAAGCAGACATGTAAGACTGATTGGTCACCCTATGTCTGGGGAGCAGAGGAACCTTAGAGGCCAAGAGGCGGAAAGTCAAGCAGGCAAAGGCATGGGCTGGCTCATGCCAGGAGATGTGGTACTTGACAGTCATTCTCTTGGCCCTTCCTCCATTAGGATTCTTCCCATCCTGCAACACCTAGCTGAAGCTTGACTTCCATGGGATCTGTGGACATCTCCCCACCCAGACCTCTCTAGTTCATGTAACATATACAGCCTGCACTACATCTGGTCCCACTGTTTTGTAGTCCTCAACATCCCCAGGCAAAGAGACTTTGCACAGTAGCCCATGTTGGCAAATAACCATGTGGTTTCTGCCATGAGATTGGGGTTCTGGGCTGGTCAGATATCAGTGTGCCAATTTCAGACATGACCCTCAGCAGACTCATCCAGCGTTCTCAGACACCTTTAGCGTGTCATTCCCGGGGCCAAGGAGACCACGGCTGTCCCATTCTAACACTGTAGGGATCTGGCTCTATCCTTTGGTTGTTCTAACTTACCTGTGAACTCTGAGCAGAGGTATTCTGACCTGGACCCTGGAAGACCCCACTGTCAACAACTCTGTGCATCAGTGAAAGGCATCTGGTGTAGGCTCGTGTCCTAGCTTCTCCACTTGCTATCCAGATCCCTGCGGATGCACTTAGGAAAGCAGCAACAGATGGTTTGAGTCCTTGGGCCCCTGCCACCTGTGTGGGAAATCCTGGTAGAGTTCTAGGCTCCAGAACTCCACCTGTTCCAACTGTGACTTGACCCAACCTCAGCTGTTTAGGCGACCATCTGAGGCATGGAGCAGTAAATGAAATAGTTCTTTCTTTCTCCCTTCCTCTGTAAGTTGTTTTTCAAATAAATAACCACCAAATATTAAAAAAAAAAAATGAATAGTCATCAGATGAGTGAATGCAATGAGGGAGGTAGGGGTGGGGGATGGGATTTCATTGGGTTGATTTTTGTCTGCTGGATAGTTTATGGAGACACAGTCTGTTCATTTAGTTTATGAGTGAATCATCAATGGAAGGTCAGGGACAGAGAATCCCGAGCCGGAGCATAGCCCAGGTCAGATTTATTGGGGTTGAGGAACCCATCTGCAGAGTTCCCTTACCATGAAAAATAGGAGACTCTGAGTGGAAACCGAGTTAATTGTACTTTCTTTGTCCTTTCCAGATTCTCCAAAACCACCAGTTGCTCCCAAGCCAAAGACCACCCGTACCCTCCCTCCAGTGACCGCACCCAAGCTCCCTTCATCACCCAGACCCGACGGTCTTCACAGTCCGAACTTCATGTCCAGGGGACCAAAACCTCCCATCGCCCCCAAGCCCAAGCTGGCTGCCCCGAATGAGTGGCGAGCCAGCGTGTCTGTGAACAACAGCCTCAACAAGTGCAGCAATGGGAGGCTGCTCTGTGTAGACAGGGGGCTCTGTGAGGGCTTCCGGCCCAGCCTGGAGTGTTCCGAATCAGAGACAGACGAGGATTATATCGTGGCCCCCAGGGCTCCACCAAAAGAGAACAAGCCCGAGGATGGGTCCTGTGGAGAGGATGTGGTCACAGTGGCCCTGAGTGCCACTGGGGAAGAGGCACACGAGGAGGTAACCCAGGCATGCGGCGAGGAGGGGTTGCCGGCTGCTGACGACTCAGCAGGTGGAGCACTGAGCGGAGAGGATGAGGAAGGTGCAAATGATGAGGAAGACATAGACCACACCCCCGAAGACGAGGACAGCCCCCAGGACCTGGGGACCAGGGAGGAGAATGAGGAGCTGGCAGCCGAGCAGAACCTGGGCAGCCCAGAGGACAATGTGCTGTGGGACGGGGAGGGTGTCTCTGAGGGCGACATCATCCTAACTCCGGTAGACCCTGACGAGGAGCCCAGGCCCCCTGAGGCCCTCGGGGAGGTAGAGGAGGACGATAGAACCAGCTGTGCCAATATGGAGCCCGGGGGGCCAGGTGAAGACAACGCATGGTGTGCTGAAGATGACACGGAGGCACTGCCTGAGAATGAGGACTTGGCCACGGGCATCCAGGAGGCAGAGGTGACCAGGGAGAACTCCGAAGTCTCCGAGCAGGAGTGTGACGCCACTGAGGACCCAGCAGACGAGGCTGCTGGCCCTGACCCGGATGAGCAAACTGAACAGGAAGAAATGGTGGCCACCCCCACGGAGGCACAAGAGGACCTGCGGGAAGGGGAGGACGGGGAGCTGGCAGAGGATGAAGCTTCCGAGGAGAGCTGCCACATTGTCCCTTTTGAGAATGAATGTGTGGACGACTTCCCACCGTCACTCGCACAAAGTCCCTATGAGTTCTTCCCGACAGAGAGCACCTCGTTTTGTGGAGAGAGCTCCTCTCCTCTCCCTGAGCCAGCCAAAAGCTCCAACCCCGAGTGTGAACCGAGGTCAGGGCCCTGTATGGAGGAGGACCTTGTGGCTGGGGAGGGACTCTGTGTCCCTGACGTGGTTGTTGTGCCAGAGGAGGAGGGGGAGGACACCACGGACGATGCTCTTGCCAACCCCTACGTGATGGGAGTCATTCCAACATGCCAGGCTGACCCTGGAGAGGGCGGGCAGGAGGAGATCTCCGCTGATGGAGACACCCTAACTAGCTGTGGCTTGAGAGAGGAGTTGGATGCTGATGGTGGTTCACTCTCCATGGACAGGAAAAACCTTGTTGCCAGGGCCCGGCCCCACTCTGGGAAGGTGGCTGGCTCCGTGCCAGAAACTGTTCCTGAAGAAACTGGACCGGAAGCTGGCACATTAGCCAACAACATTGAAGAATGCCCTGAGCAGGTAGGGAAGACAGCGCTGTCATCGTTGTTTTCCGAGGGGAAGCCCATGGAGGTGGGCAGGGCTTTGCCGGCCAAGCCACGAGCCTTCACGCTGTACCCGCGGTCCTTCTCCGTGGAAGGCCGAGAGGTTCCTGCCTGCATGTCCAGGGAACCCGATGGCTTAGACAACCTCCGGATCAAGAGGAAGGATGACAACCTGTCCCTGCCTTGTGTCATCGGCTCCTCTGGGAGCTTCTCCCAGCGGAACCACCTGCCGTCCAGCGGCACCTCCACGCCGTCGTCCATGGTCGACATCCCACCCCCCTTCGACCTGGCCTGCATCACCAAGAAACCCATCACTAAGAGCTCCCCATCGCTGCTGACCGAGAGCGACTCCCCGGACAAGCACCCCAAGAAGAAGAAGTCGTCCTTCAAGCGGTTCTTAGAGCTGACATTCAGAAAGAAGACGGAGAATAAAGTGCACGTGGACGTCAATGTGTCCTCCTCCAGATCCTCCTCGGAGTCCAGCTACCATGGGCCCGCCAGGATCCTGGAGCTGGACCGCAGGAGCCTCAGCAACTCCCCTCAGCTCAAGGCCCGGCCTGGCAAGCTGCGGGCCTCGGACTCCCCCTCCTCGCTCATCTTCTATCGTGACAGCAAGAGGAGAGGCGTGCCCTTCAGCAGGACCGTGTCCAGGGTGGAGTCCTTCGAAGACCGTTCCCGGCCACCCTTTCTGCCCCTGCCGCTGACCAAGCCCCGGTCCATTTCATTCCCCAACGCAGACACATCTGACTATGAGAACATCCCGGCCATGAACTCGGACTACGAGAACATCCAGATCCCGCCCCGGAGGCCTGCCAGGGCCGGCACGTTCACGAAGCTGTTTGAGGATCAGAGCCGAGCCCTGTCCACGGCCAACGAGAATGACGGCTATGTGGACATGAGCAGCTTCAACGCCTTCGAGAGCAAGCAGCAGAACGCTGAGCAGGACGCAGAAAGGTACCGTGTGAGCTCGCTGGCCACCCCCTGCGTGGAAAGGAGGTGGAGGCAGTGGGCAGGGGGACTGGGTGGACTGGTCTCCATGTGACCTGGAGTGGACAGCTCTCCCAACCCCAAGCGTCATATGGGGAATGGGACTTGTGTCACCTCTGGGTACAAGTGCTGAGAAAGAATGGAGTAAGTCTTTAGGGTGAGGGAACTCCCCAAAATGCCAAATGCAGCACAGGAGGAAGCATAGGAGAGATCTTCCTCACATCTCCCAGATGGCTTTGCTGCTCCCCTGTGGGAAAGTCACCAGAAGAGAAGGTCCTGGAATCTAACCAAACTAAACATCTTTCACCATCAGGAAAATACCCTGAATTGAGATGGATACCCTTTACATTGTGTAAGCATACTCTGGGAGGTAGAAAAGATGGTTTATTTAAATTGTTTAAAGAAGTTGTCTTGCCCTGAGCTAAATTTCTGAATGGAAGTCTTTAAGCGGAGATATTTAAGCTGACATGTTTTTGCTGCACTGATTGACTTTGGAAGTTAGAGGAGGCAGAGCACTGAAGCTGTTGCACGATCGTGGAGATTTTTGTGACCCCACCTTGACTGAGTGGTCCTCCTGAGGAAGTTGTTGCCAGACCTCCCTGTCGCTCACGCTTTGTGGAGGCAACTTAGAGGCGATGAAGATCAGCCTCCACCATTTGCAGTTTTGGGTGTGTTGGGTCTAAATTCAGGAAAGGCCAAACTGGAGATGTTTCATTCTCCTCTCCCACTATGTGCAGGGACTTAGAACAGCCCTGCACAGCAGCTTTGCTGGATATTCCCAGGGGAGCCTGCCAGGACTGAAGGGTGCACCCAGCTCCCCAGCCTCACTCCACCTTCTCCCTGCCCCAGGCTGCGGCAGGGCTATCTGTGGGAGTCCTCGCAATGGTGCAAACCTCTGCTTTCAGAGCCAAAGTAAACGCCCATCCCGCTTGAGGACTGGAGTCAGGTTTAGAGAACGTGGGCTTGTGGGAACTGCGAGAGGGACATGGCTGCAGGGCACCCAGCCCCAGCCCACTGCCCCCTTTGCCCCAGTGCCCACAGAGCCACTCTGGGAAGCTGTCAGGTCTCCATGCTGGCAGCCACCTCCAACCTGTTGCCTCCAGCAGGTAGTCGCCCAGTCTGTGCTCCACTCCCTCAGGCTACAGCGAGCTCAGCACCTCTCAGGAGCTAGTGGAGAAATCAGAGTTAGGAACTCAGGTGGCCTGACTCCCGTTTCAGGAATTCGCAGTGACATGTGCTAGGGTGCCAGGTCTGATCAGTGGGTTGTGTGCTGGGCAGTCAACATCAAGGGTGGCTCTTACGTTTTCAGTCTGTATGTGCTACCCCCTGGAGTTGTGCCAGTGCCTTGATCTGTACGGAGTCTGTGAAGTAACAGGGTCTGGTTTCTTTATCCAAGTTTGCATGACAACCGGGTGAATAATATACCCAGCCTCCGTATCCTGTCCAGCATTCGGTGCCGCAGCCCAGTGAGTGGTGGAGGGCCCTGACCTGTCAGACCCCAAGTTCCAGCAGCACAGCGGCTGCTGTGATGCCACTCACCGAAGGGCAGGCGAGTGGGATCAGTCTCCCACGCAGGAACCACATCCCCTTGGACATCAATCAGTGGGGAAAGTTTTTTTCCACTTTCCTACGTGAAGCAGGTAGAGGCAAAAGGGAAGAAAATTCCCCACTTGGGGCTGGAACAGGTCTGGGCAGGGCAGATTTGAAACCTGTCAGAGTGAGAGGCACAGGTGACTGCCCTAGGGCGGTGGGGCGGAGCGGGTCCCTACTGTTCTTAGAGTGGGCGCTTTGCATCCCGGGTAGATGGAGGGTTGCTGCCGGTCTCAGACATGTGTGCACCAGACCTCGTGGTGGAGGGGGTGAGAGGGTAGGAAAACAGTTCCTTCCGGCCTCCGCTGCTTGTCCTCCCCCACACCTTGCTTCAATGCGAGGATCAGAGGCCAGGGCCAAAGCAAACATCAGCAGATCAAAAGAGGGCAGGACACAGAGCAACATGGGATAAGGATCCCTGTCGCTGGAGCCCCAGCCTGACCACAGGGTCCAAGACCAGCCGGGCCGGGGCTGCTCATATGGGAAACGGTGCTGTTGGCTTCTCCTCTGTCACCTCTTGTGTATCTGTTAGGCTCCTTATGCTATGCTTTTTTCTGTAAATCAGGCTTAAAAAAATGGGCAGGAAGATACTTTGTGTCATCAGTGACCATAAATAAAAGGTGATTGAGGGCTGGGTATTTGGCACAGCAAATAGGACATTTTCTGGGACCCCCTATCCCGTGTTAGAGGGCCTGGGTAGTTCACACTTGCTCCACTTCTGATCTCTGCTTTCTGGGACACAGTAGGTGATGGCTCAAATGCATGGGTGTCAGCCACCCACGGGGGAGGCTGTAGTCTTAAGTTCTTGGCCTCAACCTGGTTTACACATGGGTATTTGTGAAGTGAATCTGTGAATGAATGGAAATTCATTTTCACTCCCTTTCTCGGTCCCCATCTCTCACCTCTTTCTCTCTCTTCTCTCTGTCTTTCAAATGAATTTTTAAAAATGTAAGAAAAGAAGGCAATGGAAAAATAAGGTGGAAAGAAAAATAAAGTGACATAGATGAAGTCTGCTCAGAGGCCATGGCTTGCCGAGGTCAGAGCTAGAAGCCTGGTCCTCTTGTTGAACAGGGAGACGTGTTGAGGGTGTCGGACCACCAAAGACCTTGTCCTCGAGGTGATTGGAAGGACTCCAAAGGTTGAGGATGAAGCAGTTCTCCTGTGCTGGAATTCATTGTTATTTATTCCCCAGCAGTAAGAGGACTGTGAAACAGGGCTCTGTCATCTGTTATTCCTCATGTGGAGGCAAATCCAATTGAATCAGCAATACACATCAGCACCAACCCTGAGGCCACTTCTACCAAACATTGTGTCACAAAAATGTCCAAACTGGCTTGAAAAGTTAGCTTTGCAATGAGCGTCCATTGTCCACTGTTGGAATCACACCACTCACGTGTGCTGCCTGTTCTCTCTGCCTGTCTCCAGCCACTCATGCCTGCTGTCCTTGATGAGTTACAGGAGCTGTTTGTGCTGACAGATGAGGCAGGCTGGGAGCAGGTGCAGTGCATGTGGCCTTGTGGCCTGGATTTCAGGATGTGCTCTACCACCATGTAACCTGGGACAAGTATCTTACCTGCCGGTGCTTCGTAGTGTGTATCTGTAAAAGGGGGAGGGATAATTACACCTGACTCATTAAATCATTAAGAATAAACGCGTTAATACAGCAGACAGTGAAATGATTAGTAATTGCTGTTACAGATGACACAGCAGTCATGCAGTAGTGGATGCCAGATTTGAATTTGATTCCAAAGTTGTACAATCTTGGCTGGCATGAATCTGGTCCCTTTTATTGTAGGGTCTCTGTCCTCTCTCCTACTTCCTTTCCTTCCTTTTTCCTGTCTCTCTCTCTCTCTCTCTCTCTCTCTCTCTCTCTCTCTCTCTCTCTGACACACAGACGTGCATACACAGTTGTTCTGCCCTGGTTTCACTCATGGATTGGGAACGTCAGCTGTAGGATGAGATGAGAACAGGGCGGCTGACAGCAGCCTGAGCTACACCAGTGAGCAGTCCTTGGTTGTCTCTTACCCAGACAGCAGCCAGAGCTTGGTTGTAACTCTGCCTGTCTCTCTTGATGATTACAACTCACAGTTATGCAAGCAGGAGTTCCTGAGCTGTATTTGAAAGAGTTACTGAGACAGGGAGAGACAGAGATTTTCAACCCACCTTCTCACTCCCCAAATGGCTGGGAGTGGCTGAAGTTAGAAGCCTGGAACTTCATTTGGGTCTTCATGTCAGTGGCAGGGGGCCATCTTCCACTGCTTCCCCAGGCACTTCAGCAGGGAGCAGGATTGGAAGTGGAGCAGCTGGGAGTCAAGTCAGTGCTCTGTGGCATGCTTTCTCATAGGCAGAGACTCAGTCCCCTGCACAGTGGCTCAGTGGAAGTCACAGGACACCTGTCTCTATTTGCTGGTGGCTGGCTGGCTTTTCACTCTGCTGACCACATCTCTATAAGACCAGATTTCCTGGAATAGGCTCAGGAGGTGCTGGGTACCTTTCCCTGCCTGGGACCCCTGTGGAGACCTTTCGCTGCTGTGGTCAGCAGTGCCTGAGCTGCAGCCTGGAGTTCTGGGGGCCACCTCATGAGGTGAGGCTGCTTAGTAGGTGCAGCCAATGAGCCAGCCCACTCGGGAGCTGCTGCAGATGTCCCAGGTGGCAGGGGTCCCAGGTGCCTCATTTCACAGTGTTCTTCCTCAGCTCGGGCCGGGGAGAACTCGGGCCCTAGCTCAGGCTGCACCTGTCAGAATGCAGCTAGAAGTCAGTGCTCCAGTGACCTCACAAATCGGCATGCTTGCAAGGAGTCGTAGGAAGGAGACACCAGGGCAGTGAATGTGTGGTGGCAGTGATCATCCTGGGCAAGGCACAGGGCGGTGTCAAGTCAGGAAGGAGCAGGGAGCAGGGTGAGGCAAGCAGGTACCATCTCTGACCTGAGAGGAATTAGAGTCGCTGAGGGAGGATCGGAAATGATCAGGCTGGCTTCTGGGGCTTAGTGGGACCAGTGCGGGCAGGGACCCTGCAGGGAAGGCAGGGTTCCTAGAGACCCATGGAGGAGATTGGTATGCAGATGAAGCGAAGCAGGACTGTGATGACAGTGGCTAGAAAGTGCAGTGGGGCTGAAGGGTTCTGCGACCCACCACACTGTGCCCTTGTGTCTTAGTGCAGGACCACATGGCACCAGTTCCGTCAGCACACTCTGCTTACATGCCTTCCACGTCCTGTTCTTGGCAAAGAGGGATGTGGGGCAGCCCAGGAGTGCTGTCTGGATGGGTGGATGTACAAGCAAGCAGTCGGGCAGGTCCTCAGAGCCTTGGTTCCCAGCGCTGCCAAAAGCCCCCACTGCTGGGGAGATGTCTGCAGTGGCTCTGGTAGAGGAGCAGGAG